CTGATACCAGTTATGTTAATATACAAATGCTTACTCCTCCAGGAGTTACCTTTTTCTAACAAGACCATTGCCCTAAGCAGTCCTAAACACTGTAACACGATTGACTAGATGTTCTCTATCCCCTCCCAACTCCTCTATAGTTTTGTAGTGTTATGTGAGGAGGAAATCCCTCTCAGGAGCACTTCCTATGGAGAATTCAATGTGCTTTTCCAGGGAATAATGATAGTTTAGGAGATATTGTACCCCTCACTATTTCTTCATTTGTAAGATTTCCTCTATAAAATCTACCTTACACCTACAATTGGGGCCACTAGTAATATGTTTCTTGCACAACCATTAACTGAGGAAATTATAAAGTCTCCTTTAGAGTTTTTAAAAAGGTAAAAAGGGAGGTAAAAAAAGGTAAAAGGTAAAAAGGTAAAAAAGGTCTCTATTTTTAGTTTATTCTGGTAAAAATTGGAAAGGGGCAAAATATTTATTTCTTAATTAGATAATCTCTTTTCTTGATGCATAATACCTTCCTTGATCACCCAATCTAAATTATCCTCCCTTGTGACTCTATCAGAAAGGGAGTTTTATTATCTTCATTTATTATTCTTTAAAGTTATCTTGTTCATGTATTTCCACTTGTTTATTGCCTCTCTTTCCCACTATAATGTAAACATCACAAGAGAAGAGAGCTTATTTGTGTTATTTATCCGTAAAATCCAATGTTCAAAAGAGTACCTGACATATGAAGGTGACAAAAATATTTGTTGAATGATTAAGTTTAGTGAATAAATGAATGAGTAAATTTAATAGCTACTCATCTAATCTATGAAGGAAAAAATGGACACATATTAATACCCTTTCTCTTTTGTATTTATGTTTTTGTGTGTAATAATAAATTTAATTAGTATTGGGGAAGAAAGTTGTAAAAAAACATTTAGAAAAAAGTTGGATGTGTAACTCTTAAAAATAAAACACCAAGAAATAGTTAACATTTTCATATCCAAAAAGTGTAAATTTCAATGCCATAAAACATTTAAGAAAAGCTAACACCACATATGATATGAAACATAATTACTAACATCTATTGTGTTGATTAAACATTTGCCATTAACTCATTCTCTAAACCAAAATGAACGGCTCAATGCTGTAAAGTGCAAAAAAAAAATGTACTTTATTGTAATCAATACCATATGTCTGTTCAGGTGGGATCTCCTTGCTTCACTCGCATCCACTCTCTGAAGGTTTGGGAGACTTTTCCAAAGAATTTCAGAAATTCTATTAGGATCTAAGAAGTAACCCAAAATGAAGTTTGATGAATAATATTATGTCATGGGCTTAACAGTTTGAATTTTTATTATATTTAGCAATATTCAACCTACAGCTGTTAAGGGAAATACTATAAAACCTATCAAGCTAAAGCAACCTATTTCATGTCCTATCTCCCATTTTCTACTCAGTTTAAACTTAAAAAAAAAATTACTGGTCTTTCCCTGGCACACTGTATAGATTCTAAACACCCTTGTCTTTGCTTCAACTGTTCAGTCCACACATAACACCTTTTCTTCATATTTCCCTGTTAAAATCTAACCCAGCTATCTTTCTTAAATTAAATGCTGTTACTCTCAATACAGCCAGAAACAACTTTTTCTTCTTTTTGGTGCATCTCTTGGTAACTTTTTATTGAAGGCATCTTCTGCATTATAATGTACTTATTTATGTACATGTCTTGTCTGTCTTACTAGAATATTAATGCATTGAGGGCAAAGATGATACAGTTGTCATCTTTGTATTATATATATACAGAATACCTAGCTCAGTGCTTTGCACAGCATGGACACTCAGTCCACATTTCCCTGTTTGAACTAAATTTAATGGAAATAATCTTCCTCATGAAGTTAGGGAATACTGTATGAATTAACATTAATAGGGGAAAAAGCCATTTAAAAGGAATTTTTTGATATTCATTCTATGGCCTTTTTCTGTTCTTAATGTCCTATATTCCCTATCATCCTCAGTCCACTATTCCCCATACAACCCTTCTTTCATTCTTCCACTTCATATTACTCTTAATTGTGACTTATTGGCCAATAAGTCTGGGCTGGCCAGAATAGTAACTCAAAGTAACACTATCATAACCCTTCTTCAAGATTTTTCCAAAAGCTCATACACAGTATCTGAGACTGCCTTTACTATGCCTTCATAGAAAGTAGAAATTCTATTTAAAATGATTTCATTTAAGCCAATATTTCTACATTCTGAGATTCACCAAATGTATAGTCTATCAAATTCAGCAACAGCAACTAAACATTCAATATTAAAAAAAAAACTTACATGAAAAGTTATCACTTCATGTTCTTCAGGGTGACAAATTATTAGCTTTCCAACATTTTCAAATCCTATACTTCACCATGTGTCCACAGAAAAACTACAGTAGTATGCCATACTCTACCATAATCTTAACATAAATATAAGAGTATCATGCTTTATTTGTTTCTATTCCTACAGTTCATAAGCTGGTTAAGTTCCAATTAAAGTTGAAGACAATTATTAATAATTTTTCTTATACCTTATCACATAGTCATAATACTGACCATGTATAATCATAATGTGAAGTAATAAATGACAAGAACTCTACCCATAAGTTTATAAAGCAACAAATAAATGTATAATCTTCTCCTGAGGTATCAAAAAAATACTTTTAAAATTTAGTCACTTCAGACATTAAACTGGACCTTTTCAAAACTTCTGGCCATTAATCATTAAATTTATTACCTAATTCTTGCTAATTCATCTGGGTCTGTAATCTAGAAACATTAAAAATAGTAATGAAGCAGAGAAATGCACACTACTAGATAATACTTTCCTCTTTTCTGTATGGCAGCCAAGGTCAAAATTAATAATTCAAGTCAATGACTGAAAAGAAATATTGACATAGTTTATTCTCATTGAATAGCTACCTAACTTATTGACAGAATTTGCTGTTTCACTAATCTATGTGGTTCAGGATTTCTGTTTCTTGACTGGTTTGTGAATAGGTCTGTGAATCATAACATATTAATCAAACAGACTCACTCACTAGTGAAAACTGTAAGATTAATTGGATACATCAACCAACTCAATTATTTATGTGCATGCAATAATGAATGATTAAGCAAAAATGAAATGCAAAAAAAAATTTTAAGTGAGTTGTTTCATGTACAGAGGTCATGATTCTGAATGAGGTAAGTAATCCCACTCATAAGTGTTTTTCCCAAGATAAAAAAAAATGTTTTTACACAAAAAATCATTTTTTTAAAAAGGGTCATGTTCAGTTTCTATATGAAAATTTAATTGTTGTTGGGGAAGGGGCATGAGGGAAAATGGCTTTGTACATCAGATCTGGTCCTTAGTGTACACTTTTCACTTAAAAATTTGTATTTTCACAGTATCCAAAATTGTCAATCTTTGACAACATCTACAGTTTAGACATTAGTTTCAAAGAGTACAATATTGTAAGCAAAGATATAAATCAATGAGTTTTATGATACTGAATTTAGAATGGATATTTTGCCATTTAGGCACATAAACTGGCAAAGATTAAAGAATATTTTTAAATGTTTTACCTTTTGTCAGCTGGGCTTCCATTTGTGAAAATTGAGATCTGTAATAAAGAATACTAAACTTAAATACACTAAATATGCACAGCAAATGTTTACATTAAATTATTCAGAAAAATATCATTCAAAGCAGGTTTTAAAATATGACAATTTGTAAGATTAACGTGTCAAAAAAGCTAAGAAATTACCATAGTTGGCATTGGAAGAAATATTTTAGAAGATGAACTACTACCAAAATTATATTTCTAAATGAAAGCAAAGAGGGCTTTATATTTATAGTAAATAAAAACTATTTAAACATATCCATTACATAATTAAATATATCCATCACATAATTGTTCAATCTTTTTAATATTCTTTTGAAATATTTATACTTCAAATGCCAATAGTATACTAACATGGTGGTACTAACACATAGTATACTAATATGATAGTGCTTTTTTATAATTTAAAAAATTTGTAGGGGTACCAGGATGGCTCAGTTGGTTAAGCAACCAACTCTTAGTTTTGGCTCAAGTCATGATCTCACAGTTCATTCCTGAGATGGAGCCCTGCACTGGGCTCTGTGATGACAGTACAGAGCCTGCTCTCTCTTCCTCTCTTTCTCTGTCCTACTCCCCCCACCCCCCACCAAAATAAACGAATAAACTTTCAAAAAGTAAATAACTTGTAAAAGTATATTGAGAATCCATGCTCAAATCTGGATGGAACTGGAGAGTGTGATGCTAAGTGAAATAAGTCATACAGAGAAAGACAGATACCATATGTTTTCACGCTTATGTGGATCCTGAGAAACTTAGCAGAAATCCATGGGGGAGGGGAAGGAGAAAAAAAAAAGAGGTTAGAGTGTGAGAGAGCCAAAGCATAAGAGACTCTTAAAAACTGAGAACAATCTGAGGGTTGATGGGGGGTGGGAGGGAGGGGAGAGTGGGTGATGGGTATTGAGGAGGGCACCTTTTGGGATGAGCACTGGGTGTTGTATGGAAACCAATTTGACAATAAATTTCATATATTGAAAAAAAAATGAAGTCTAAGACAAAAAAAAAGAAAAAAAAAGAGAATCCATGCTCAAAATATGCTTATCAAGGTGTTTGATCAAAAATGTAGGAATCTAGGACCTCAAGAGTGTGATTTTATTAATAGATTACCTCTTGGGAAGAGAACATGTTTTCCTGTAGCATAATGGGGATACTAGATTTTATCCCAGGCCTGAATTTTACCTAACTCAGTTTCTTTCATACAGAGATTAGCTAGCTTTATCCTTACCCACCTGTGGCAAAGAGTTCTGGTGTTCAACAAACTAATTTTCTTTTCTTAAGGCACATTACTAGTCTACATTTCTAAGTCCCTCCTGCAATTAAAGGTGGTAAATTAATTATGAGAGAAAATGATGTGCACCCCCTTCCAGCCTGGTCAGTGTAAATGACTCATGTCTGGTCTTTCATCTTCTTTTCTAGTAGCTGGATGTCTATGCCCAATATGGCCCAGCAAGCCAATGTAAGATGTCAAAACCTCCATATACCAGGATACCTGAATCAACCTATAGAGCACGACTCCCTAACACAAACACACCTGAACTTCCCAGAAGTATTTACATGAGGAAATAAGTTTCTATTGTATGTGAGTCATTGCCTATATGTGACAAGAGTTGGCCTATATACTAAGTAATATACCACCGTGGGTTTTCATATGGCCTATGTAGATAACTAGACGGAAATAAATGATAATAAAGGCTAACATTCACATAGTCCTTCATGATATACAAAAGCATTTCATAAACATTATCCCATTTTATGCTAACATTCTTATACAGTATTATCATCCTCCAGCAACTAAGAGTTTTATAGAAAAATATGTTTTGGGGCGCCTGGGTGGCTCAGTCGGTTAAGCATCCGACTTCAGCTCAGGTCACGATCTCACGGTCCATGAGTTGGAGCCCTGCATCGGGCTCTGGGCTGATGGCTCAGAGCCTGGAGCCTGCTTCGGATTCTGTGTCTCCCTCTCTCTCTGCCCCTCCCCCGTTCATGCTGTCTCTTTCTGTCTCAAAAATAAATAAACAAAAAAAAATTTTTTTTAAAAAGAAAAATATGTTTATATCCTGATACATAGAAATGATAATAGGTCTTACCCTAACCTCTGCTTTAAAAAAGACTACTACTGGGGCGCCTGGGTGGCGCAGTCGGTTAAGCGTCCGACTTCAGCCAGGTCAAGATCTCACGGTCCGTGAGTTCGAGCCCCGCGTCAGGCTCTGGGCTGATGGCTCGGAGCCTGGAGCCTGTTTCCGATTCTGTGTCTCCCTCTCTCTCTGCCCCTCCCCCGTTCATGCTCTGTCTCTGTCTGTCCCATAAATAAATAAAAACGTTGAAAAAAAAATTAAAAAAAAAAAGACTACTACTACAATAAGCAGCTTTAAAAATAGTTATGAAAACAAAGAGGAACTACTTCTGACATATATCATTAAGATGTAAATATGACAGGCCTTTTATGTATGTAATCTAATGTTCAGTAGTAGGAGTTCTAAATATTTTTCTTTCACTCCTTTTAGATTTTAAGTTTCTGTCACTAGTGGCACAGAGTGATAGGCTGGGAGATTCTGGCACACATACACATAAACTCTCATTTTGAAAACAACAAGGAAGAACACTAAAGAATATGAAATACTATTAAAGAAATGAGAGACCTGACAATAGCTATACTGCCACAACAAGGACAAGCAAAATTGTCTTCTCTACAACTTTGCTTTCTTTTCTTGAACTCTTCCCATTATTTACCAATAAAGTTGCTTCTGTGTAGACTGTTTTACTCTTCTAAGGCATGAATCTATTCTGAATCTATTATATTGATAAATCTATTGATCTACTATGAATCCACTACACAGCAGAAGCAAAAATAAATTCTTCTTCAAGAGTTTTTTCTCCACAGATAATAGCTGTACTTGCAGTGAGCAAAGCATAACACATCTACTTAACAAATCATTATGTTGTATACATGAAACTAATACATTGTGTGTCAACTGTACTTCAGTAAAAAGATAAATGTGAAGAGAGCTTTTCCCCATAGTTTTGCATTTATATTTAATTTTATTAACTTATAGCAAATTCTCTTTAGTCTATGAACTCCTATTTTTTTCTGGCTCTCAAATCACAGGTGTTTATTAAATGATCATTCAAAACTAATACATATCTAATTTATAAATTTGTATTCGAGATAATGAATTGTGATAACCAAATGTAAAAGGCAAAAAGTCCAAGCCAAAACAAACAAACAAAAAAACAGGGCACAGGATTTTTGTAAAAAACATATACAAATGGAGTAAACAAAAATATAAAAGACAAACTTCTTACAGCACATATTACCATTTTTCTTTCTTGTACTGTTTCCTCTATTTTGGTAAATTCCTTACCTGTGAATGTTCTTGGATTTTTGCATTTGTCTTTTGTCTACCTGAAGCTGTAACTAATGCTTCCCTTGTCTCTTTTTCCAATGGTATATGTTTTGAATCTTCAACTTTTATTTTGCTAATACCCATTTCTATTGTTGTCTCCGTCTTCTCTTCACTATTAAGTAATTCTTTCTCTTGATTTAGGAAATAGTCAAGTTGATGCTTAGCGCTTTCAGCTTCCTGTTTGTAAAAAAGTAACCATTTATCAAGCATTTATTTGTGACATTTTTCTGACAATATTACAACTTTCAATAATCTCACTATATTCACGTCCACATTATTTTTCAACTTTATTTGTACTAAGCTGGAGGAAGCTAAATTAAACCATGGCTATAATCCACAGTTTAATCCATAATTAAAATTAAAAACTGTGAAAACATCTTCCACTTTGAGGACTATTATTTTTTTTAAATACCTATTATTTTTTTAAAGCTCTAATTATTACAGAGGCATAATAAAGAATAAAAGGTATATATTATAAAATGTGATAGACTGTAACCAGGATAATTAATACCTATAATATCAAATAAAAGAAAATGTGGAAAATAATTTTTTCTAGAATATAATTTTTCTTTAAAAATGCCACTTTTAATAATTTTTTAGTTACTTAGATCAACAAAAATAAAGTTCACAAATAATCTCACCATAAACAGAAAACTCACTGTTAACATTTGATATATCTTTTTCCATTGTTTCTAAATGTAACTAATACATATATGTATTTTTAAAATTTTTATCTATACTGGATTCTACTATACATATACAATATGTTTTCTATTAAATAATGTTATAGATATGTTTCAATGACAATAAATAAACATCTAAATTAGAATAGCTAATGAAAGTACATTTAATAGTATACTTTTATTTAGCAATATTTTTTATGAGTGGACACAGTGGTAAATTTTTGCTCACAAAATTTTTTATATTATACTTACTTAAACAAAATCACTTTACACTCTTTTCTTCTTTATGATAAATTTTTATAAGTGCAATGATTCAATGAAAGGCCTATGTCATCCTCAAACTTTTGCTGTGTATTTTTTTACAGAAAAGTATTAATTCATAATAATAGAGTAACATAAAAGATTACTCATTTCAACATACATCCACAAATACTAGACATTTCTGTTCCTAAGATTTTTACCGAAATGGTAGATAAAAAAATTCTACCCACTATTATTTTAATTTTCATTTATTTGATAACTAGTGAGGTTGAATATATTCATATGCATTTACTACCCTTTTGTGTTTCTAAATTACCACCTGCCTAATTGTGTCCTTTGTCTATGTAGGGGAAGGGCTACTCATAATTTTCATATATTTGTAAAAGATATTCATATAAAACATTTTCTAAAGAATTGCATTTCTCTTTATATCTCCTGATTTTTTACCATATAAAAGTTTTAAATTTATAGTAGCCAAATACACTAACATATTCCTTTGTTAGTAACATAATGCTTAGAAAACCTTGCTCTAGCCAAGACCATCTAACTGCTTCCCAGTATTCCTTCTAAGATCTTCATACATCATTTATTAATTTTGATTCTTAAATCAATCTACAATTTATTTTGGTGTATCTCATGATACATGAGAATTATTTTTTCATAGTGGTTTACTTTTTGTGACTATTTTACCTTTCTATGAAAAATTTTCTTTTTATTTTTTTAATATGAAATTTATTGTCAAATTGGTTTCCATAAATACCCAGTGCTCATCCCAACAGGTGCCCTCCTCAATGCCCATCACCGACCCTCTGCCACTTCCACCTCCCATCAACCCTCAGTTTGTTCTCAGTTTTTAACAGTCTCTTATGCTTTGGCTCTCTCCCTAACATTTTTTTCCTTCCCCTCCCCCATGGTCTTCTGTTAAGTTTCTCAGGATCCACATAAGAGTGAAAACATATGGTATCTGTCTTTCTCTGTATGACTTATTTCACTTAGCATCACACTCTCCAGTTCCATCCACGTTGCTACAAAAGGCCAGATTTCATTCTTTCTCATTGCCACGTAGTACTCCATTGTGTATATAAACCAAAATTTCTTTATCCATTCATCAGTTGATGGACATTTAGGCTCTTTCCATAATTTGGCTATTGTTGAAAGTGCTGCTAAAAACATTGGGGTATATATGCCCCTATACATCAGCAGTCCTGTATCCCTTGGGTAAATTCTTAGCAGTGCTATTGCTGGGTCATAGGGTAGGTCTATTTTTAACTTTTTGAGGAATCTCCACACTGTTTTCCAGAGCGGCTGCACCAATTTGCATTCCCACCAACAGTGCAAGAGGGTTCCCATTTCTCCACATCCTCTCCAGTATCTACGGTCTCCTGATTTGTTCACTTTAGTCACTCTGACTGGTGGGAGGTGGTATCCCAGTGTGGTTTTGATTTGTATTTCCCTGATAAGGAGTGACGTTGAACATCTTTTCATGTGCCTGTTGACCATCTGGATGTCTTCTTTAGAGAAGTGTCTATTCATGTCTTCTGCCCATTTCTTCACTGGATTATTTGTTTTTCAGGTGTGGAGTTTGGTGACTTCTTTATAGATTTTGGATACTAGCCTTTTGTCTGATATGTCATTTGCAAATATCTTTTCCCATTCCGTTGGTTGCCTATTAGTTTTGTTGATTGTTTCCTTTGCAGTGCAGAAGCTTTTTATCTTCATGAGGTCCCAATAGTTCATTTTTGCTTTTAATTCCTTTGCCTTTGGGGATGTGTCAAGTAGGGAATTGCTACAGCTGAGGTCAGAGAGGTTTTCTTTCCTGCTTTCTCCTCTAGGGTATTGATGGTTTCCTGTCTCACACTCAGGTCCTTTATCCATTTTGAGTTTGTTTTTGTGAATGGTGTAAGAAAGTGGTCTAATTTCATTATTCTGCATGTTGCTGTCCAGTTCTCCCAGCAACATTTGTTAAAGATTGTCTTTTTTCCATTGGATATTCTTTCCTGCTTTGTCAAAGATTAGTTGGCCATAATTTTGTGGGTCTTATTCTGGAGTCTCTATTCTATTCCATTGGTCTATGTGTCTGTTTTTGTGCCTATGCCATGCTGTCTTGATGCTTACAGCTTTGTACTAGAGGCTAAAGTCTGGGATTGTGATGTTTCTCGCTTTGGTCTTCTTCAATATTACTTTGGCTATTCAGGGTCTTTTGTGGTTCCATAAATTTTAGGATTGCTTGTTCTAGCTTCAAGAAGAATGCTGGTGCAATTTTGATTGGGATTGCATTGAATGTGTAGATTGCTTTGGGTAGTATTGATATTTTAACAATATTTATTCTTCCAACCCATGAGCACGGAATGTTTTTCCATTTCTTTGTATCTTCTTCAATTTCCTTCATAAGCTTTCTATAGTTTTCAGCATGCAGATCATTTACATCTTTGGTTAGGTTTATTCCTAGGTATTTTATGATTCTTGGTGCAATTATGAACGGGATCGGTTTATTTGTCTTTCTGTTGCTTCATTATTAGTGTATAAGAATGTAACTGATTTCTGTACATTGATTTTGTATCCTGCAACTTTGCTGAATTCATGTATCAGTTCTAGCAGACTGTCAGGTTTTCCATGTATAATATCATGTCATCTGCAAAAAGTGAAAGCTTAACTTCATATTTGCCAATTTTGATGCCTTTGATTTCCTTTTGTTGTCTGATTGCTGATGCTAGGACTTCCAACACTATATTAAACAACAGTGGTGAGAGTGGATATCCCTGTAGTATTCCTGATCAGGGGGAAAGCTCTCAGTTTTTCCCCATTGAGGATGATATTAGCTGTGGGATTTTCATAAATAGCTTATAATGTTTAAGTATGTTCCTTCTATCCCGACTTTCTCAAGGGTTTTTTATTAACAAAGAATCCTGAATTTTGTCAAATGGTTTTCCTGCATTGATTGACAGGATCATATGGTTTCTTTTCTTTTCTTTTCTTTTCTTTTCTTTTCTTTTCTTTTCTTTTCTTTTCTTTTCTTTTCTTTTCTTTTCTTTTCTTTTCTTTTCTTTTCTTTTCTTTTCTTTTCTTTTCTTTTCTTTTCAATGTGATGTATCACATTGATTGATTTGCAAATGTTGAACCAGTCCTGCAGCTCAGGAATAAATCCTACTTGATCATGGTGAATAATTCTTTTTATATGCTGTTGTATACGATTTGCTAGTATCTTGTTGAGAATTTTTGCTTCCATATTCATCAGAGATATTGGCCTGTAGTTCTCTTTTTTTGCCGGGTCTCTGTCTGGTTTAAGAATCAAAGTAATACTGGCTTCATACAATGAGTCTGGAAGTTTTCCTTCCCTTTATATTTTTTGGAACAGCTTGGGAAGGATAGGTATTATCTCTGCTTTAAATGTGTGGTAGAATTCCCCAGGGAAGCCATCTGGTCCTGGACTCCTATTTTTTGGGAGATTTTTGATAACTGATTGAATTTCTTCGCTGGCTATGGGTCTGTTCAAGTTTTCTATTTCTTCCTGTTTGAGTTTTGGAAGTGTATGGGTGCATAGGAATTTCTCCATTTCTTCCAGGTTGTCCAGGTTATTGGCATATAATTTTTCATAGTATTCCCTGATAATTGCTTGTATTTCTGAGGGATTGGTTGTAATAATTCCATTTTCATTTGCGATTTTATCTATTTGGGTCCTCTCTCTTTTCTTTTTGAGAAGTCTGGCTAGACTTCAACTTTGTTTATTTTTTCAAAAAACCAACTCTTGGTTTCAATAATCTGCTCTACTGTTTTTTTAGATTCTATATTATTTATTTCTGCCCTGATCTTTATTATTTCTCTTCTTCTTCTGGGTTTGGGGTTTCTTTGCTGTTATGCTTCTATATCCTTTAGGTGTTCTGTTAGATTTTGTATTTGGGATTTTTCTTGTTTTCTTAGAGATGAGCCTGGATTGTCTCATTTTCCATCGGGACACCTTTGCTGCATCCCAAAGCTATTTGGATTGTTGTATTTTCATTTTAGTTTGTTTCATATATTTTTAATTTCTTCTCTAATTGCCTGGTATCGTTCTTTGTAAGTTGTTCTTTAACCTCCTAACACACGGGTTTTCAATTTCCTGTGGTTGATTTCAAACTGTAGCATTGTGGTCTAGAAGTTATTGCATGGTATGATCTCAATTCTTGTATACTTATGAAGAGGCTGTTTTGTGACCGTATATGATCTATCTTGGAGAATGTTCATGTACTCAAGAAA